CCTTTTTCTACTGGCAAGCACTGAAGAGGCAGTGCCAAATTTTAGAGTTCCTAGTTTAAAATCTATTTTAATGGTATCAGTTTTTTAACCCAATACTTATTTTTTACACTGAACATATATTTTAAATATGAGGATAAATAGGCTGTCATAGTTGAATTTTGGTATGAATATTTTTGGATGCACTTTGAGTTGTAATTATCTTATAGCAGGTTGTATTGTGTTGCTTTTCTTAATCAGCCCATATTTTGAACTGGACTAAACTATCTGTGGGTACCTCATTTTGAAATATCTATTTAAAAAACAAATTTGACTTGGCTTATGTCCTCTGATAATTCACATATGATGAAACTGTGGTAAAAATCTTGTTCATAGTGATTTTCTGTCATTCTTAATAAAGCATAGTTGGATAAATTCAATAACTCTTTTGAAAGTCAATTATATCTTGAACACTATAGATGGCAACAGTCTGCATTTTATTTTCATTTCCTTTTTTGTATATTTAAAAATGTTTATTTAAAATGGTCTATGCATTTTAATTCTAATGGGGAAAATTATAAAATTCTAAATTACTAAAACAGTGTTCTCTACATTACCTCACTTTTTAATCTTCTTGGTGACCATGCTTCTGGAGTGTTTACTGAATTGTAAAATTAATTTATGTAGGTATTCCAAGTGCAATGGATCTTTAAAGGTAAAATATTTTTGAAACACTAAAAATAATTTAATTGACAATTTTAAAAATGTGAAAAAAACATCCTAAATTGTCAGTTTAACAATTTTTGATAATTTTGAGGACTTAAGAAAAAGTTCCTAATCAGATTATACAGCATCTTTCCAAAATTTAACAAATGTAAGTCTCATTCATTTTCATATTGATGACATGCTTTTGTTCTTGTTAGATTTAAAAACTGTATTTTAATATATGTCATTAAAATCCTTGTTTTTGAAGTAGTAAATATGAAACCCACAGTGTTTATAGTTTCTGCAAAACTAAAGTAGCAAGTGCAGATGTAATACATACTATTTTGTACTTGCCTGCACTTAATATTTAAATAATTCATGTTAGCCAGCTTTTATTGAGTTTCTAATATGTCATTTAGACCCTGAATACACAAATGTACTGTCCTCACCAGTAAATAGTGATGAGCATGTACTCACTACAGGGACTGTGCTACATGATGAATATCCAATGGGCAGATCCCATATTCCAGAATGTGTATACGAGTTGGGAACAAATGAGGATTTATACACATAAAAGTATGACAAAAATTTGCTATCTGCAAAGAGAGACACTAAATAAATGGTTCAAAGTTCCAAAGGATGTGTAAGGAAAGAATATGTAAACAGTGGGGTTCTGCACAAGCATCACGGGCGAGGTAGCACTTAAAGAGAGCCAGGAAGCACGGAGAGAATAACAGTTACTTCTTTCCTTCCACGGGGTGCCAGAGTGGTCTTATGAATCATATCAATGTAGTATGCTTTTTCCCCTCCTACTTCTTGCCCAACTTCAATGGATTTGCATAGTATTTTCCAAATAATATTTAGGTAATGTACAAGTATCATGTGAAACAACTTTGCTCTTGTCATGATTAAAATGTAAAAAGTCAGTTTTGCTCCTTTTTATTATTACTTGTTTATTTTATGTCTCCCCAAATATCTTGTAACTTCAGGCTGTGGAGTACAATTGCTGTTTTCTCACTACCATGCAGACATTCCTTGTCACAGTGCTTTACAGAAAGAGTGAACTCAAAAAATAAGAAATAGATAATAGGTAGATGATGATTGATAGATAGATAGATGATAGATAGATGACAGATGATAGATAGATGATAGATAGATAGATATAGATAGATAGATGATAGATAGATAGATGATAGATAGATGATAGATGATAGATAGATAGATAGATAGATAGATAGATAGATAGATAGATAGATAGATAGATAGATAGATAGATAGATAGATAGAGGTAGATGACCGATCCCACACTGTTTGTTTTTCCTGGCTCTCACTTTCTGTCTTTTGACCTAGAATGCTTTTCCTGCAACATTCAGAGGCAGGTAGAGAAGTTCTTCAAGTGCAGGCCATTATAAGTGGGTCAGTATGGATGGAGATGGTGAGTGTTGCAGGGAACCACATTTGAAGGGTTTCTTACATAGTGTGTGGAAATATGTAGGCTATGCTAGCATTTTGTGGTAAAATTAACTGGAATTTCTCAAAAGAAGACTTGATCGAATGCTGCTGAGAAGTATGGCAGCAGACGACTGCAGTCTTAACAAAAGCAGTTTTAGTTTAGTTTCAGTGGAGTGGAGCGTGTCAGTGTGTGATTTAAAATGAGGAGCTAAGGATGCACGTATGGAAAACAATTTAAGAAACTGTGTTCTGAAGGGAAACAAAACTGTTTGGTAGCTACAGGGAGAATTAAGATATCTGTTATGTTTCACTTTGTTTTCATTCCAGAGTTCTGGAAAATTGTTTTGGGCTCGTATGAATGACTGACTAGGTGTGTATGTGAGAGGGAGGGGTGGGGAGAGAGAGAGAGAGAGAGAGAGAGAGCCTGAGCATGCAAAAAAGGTAATAGACGCTTGAAAGATTATTCTCAGAGACTAAATATGGGGCTCCTAATTCAAATAAAGTTCAAATAAAGATAGGAGCAAGGACACATTTCTATTATAACAGGAACAAAGGTAAAGGGGGTAGGTAAAGGCGTATAGAGGTTTGAAGATTTGGTGGTAGAAAATAATGAAGCTCCTCTCTGATGACTTTTGTTTTCTCAGCACGCAGACAAGTATACCAGCTAGGAGTCACAAAGGAACCGAGCTTGTAAGGATTTAGAAGAAAGAGGTGAAGTTACAAAATAATCATGCTGATCCTAGGAACCGAAGTTAACTAAGAAAGCAGTACTAAGATTGTCTAATAGCATTGTATGTCACATTTGGATTTGGGACCGTGATTTGAAGACAGTGAAATGTGATATTTTTATTGGATGACATTGAACCCCACAGTTTTCCTCTCTATGCCTGTGTTTGGATTTCTTCAGCTAACCTCAAATTAAATAATGCTTTAACCATAATCATTATACTCCCCCAAACACATTTTATATCAAGTGTTTTCTATGAGAAAATTGCACCAGCCTTTCCTGTGCAGCTTGTCAACCACCTTAGAGTCATTCTTAGGATTTCTTACTCATCTGACCCATTAAATACCACGAGATCTTGTTTATTTCACTTCTCCAGAATTCACCTACTCTTATCTATGACCGTTGGAACTACTCTTGTCCAACAGAGTTCCTTTCTGATCAGTGCAATAGAAACAAAAGGGCCAGTTGCCTGCTCCTCCCCAGTCTGTTACCTCTGCTGCTGTGAAATGATGTCTTTATCACCACTTTGATCGTATTATTTCCCTGCACATAACTTTGTAATGACCTCTCTTTATTCATAAATTAAAGCCCCACGTAATAGCTATAAGGTGTTTGTGACCTGGTGTCTTCTTTCCTCTCTGACTGAATCTCTGCCACTTTATTACTGCTATCTGTCTGATCAGTTCTTTAGCTTCCTCCATCTGCCCATTTATTCTGCGCCTTTTTTGGTCCTATTCAAGTTGGATACTAATCTTTTATAACTCAGCAGAGATTCAGCTTCCTTAGAAAAGTCTTCTTTGGCATTCCAGCCTAAATTAGATGTTGAATCTCACTGCCATAGCTCTCTTTCCTAGCATCATCATATTTGTAATTATTTATGAAATACCTTTAGGACTCATAAAGGCAGGGCCATTGCTGTCTTGTTTACCTCCGTAACCCAGTACCAAGCACCTTTTCTGGCCTAGCACACCTGCTGGGAGAATTTTGTTAGACTGTTGAACAGAAAGATACATTGATCAACTTTTTACTTACGTTTATACTATTTCCTATTTCCAAAGTTGAACAGCAGTTTTATACACGATATCATATAAAGTTTTAAGTTAAAAGGCACTCATTAAAAAGAGAAGATATGACTTTTGTTTTATGAATGATAACTGAATTTCAACTACGTAGAATAAGTGGATTGGCACTTCATGTCTTTGAAAGCAAAAAAGTGTTTAAAGTAGGGATAAAAGGATAAAAGAAGAAAATTGGATAACTTACCTAAGGATGGTACTGGCTGCTACAACAATCCTATTATAAGAAAAATAATATTTTAAATCTTCTCCTAATCACTTAACTACAAGAATGCCCTTAATACTATCAAAAAGCTCTTATCTTTCAAATACCTTCACATTCTCTCTGAAATCATAAGAGCATTAAGGCTTTATTATCGCTATAATTAGATCTATTGAAAAGGTACCTTCTCATTTTTGTCAGGGCCTGATTACTCGTGGTGATGGAAGAACACCTTAGCATGGATTACTAAAATCCCAGATCACTTACAGCACGGGAACCTTACCCCTCATTCGTTATGTCTGTCAAAAACTGTCATTGAAATACAAGTTGGCCTTTGGGTGTTAGCAAATGGTTATTGATTCATGAATAAATGTTATTAAATATATATACGGTGAATTTTAAAAATAGAAAAAAACATAGATGGTTATTAGCTTTATGTAAACTAAGCCCTAAAAGGAATCAAGCCGTCCTCTTGGCTTCTGTTGGTCTTCAAATTGCTCACACTGGGCAATTGGAATATTGAAGTTTGACTTTATTAGCCACTGAGAAGAAAAAGAGACACAAAAGTTTAGGGAATGAACAGAATAAAAAGATTTACTTCTTTAGCACTTACTTACCTGAGCACCAACCTAGAAATCTTAACAAAAATATCAGGGAACATTTTCTTCCTGTGATTCTAAATAGTTCAATTACAGTCTTTATGCCATGCCATTAATTTACTTGTGCATTCTATAACAACTTAGGAACACCTACTGTGGGCAAACACTGTGATAAGTATTGTGAATGCAAAATAAAATAAGACACACTTTCTACCTTTTATGGATCATTATAATATGTATAAGTATGAGCAATATTAGAATAGATGCCTGTTGAATTGAAAAACAAAATCTACAATGGAGTAAAAGGTAAAACAAATGCCTAAAATCTAACTCCTCCAGAAATCAGCATAATGTGAATAATGCACCAGCTCATTCATGCATCATCCCCAATCTAACAGAATTTTAAAGTCTTTAGCACCTACTAATTAATTAATTAATTTAATAACAAAATTTTGAGCACCTACCGTGCATAAGACCATTTTATGAGCATAGTGGCAAATTTGCATTTCTTCGACATAAGATGTATCAATAGAGGAAACGAAAATTATATTCAAAGCGCTGCTTCCGTTTTAAATACAAATAAGTATTTACTACCTGTTATAATTTCTTGTAAGCTCCTGTAGCATAAAAAGTTACTAAATGTATGTAACGTTTCAAACACATTTAATTTAAAAACCTAAAGTACACATTTGATTATCTGAATGAATAGCCTGGTTTTTATGATTCAGAAGCTTATGAAAAAAATTGAAATTAATGCAAAGCTTGTGTTATCTGTAATCTGTGTCTACTAGTCAAAATAATGACATTACTCACAAAACAAACCCTGCATCTGTTCCAGGGAAAAGCTTAGTCTCTTATTTCTTTTGACAGTGTGCAGACCTGGGTTCTTCAAAGCCTCACCTCACAGCCAGAGCTGCAGCAAATGTCCACCTCACAGTTACACCCATGAGGAAGCTTCAACCTCTTGTGTCTGTGAAAAGGATTATTTCAGGAGGGAGTCTGATCCACCCACAATGGCATGCACAAGTAAGGAAACCCACGGGTATTTGGTGATGCTGACTTTCACCAGCTTGATGAAAGAACGTGGTGGAGCCTGTTCCATTCTATCACCATTTCCCTTCAACAGGCCTAATGTTTAATCTTCCAGTGTAGTTTCACCGCATTGCAGTCTTCTCGAGTAAGCACTGAAAAATCTGACGCGCTGTCATCATTCACTGTGAGAAGCATCTATTTTCCCCAATTTCAGTGTCAACATCTATGACACAGACATAGGATTTTTCCCTTTCTTTTGTGAGGTCTTCTAGCGGCAGCCGCCTTGACAGTCCATTTCCCTGCTCGTGGCCAGTTTTCCTCTTCTTCCAGGCCAGCTTTCTAATCACATAACCATGCGGTCAGTGGCACTTCACCGTTTGTTCTAACTGGAGCCACTAAGCTGCCAGTGCGAAGGTCATTTACAACAGAAGACAGGAAACATTACAGGAGCGTGGACAACTGGGGGTTCGCAAGTCTGTTTTAAGTGTGAAACATAAAACCAGTTATTTAGCTAGCATCTTCAGGCAGTTGCCGTGTTTCTTATGAGTGTCTTTAACTATTATTAGTTATATGATCAGATAACCATATAATTAGAGTGATGAATATTAGACACCTAATTCCAATATTTGCCATGGATGCATTCACATCCATTAATGGTTTTGGTGGTTTTGTTTTTCTAGTGTTCTGTATATTTCTGGGAAGGAAGCAAATTTATATATTTGTTTGCTTCATGACAATATTTTCATAGTTTCCAAGTCAAAACATGAAAGAGAAGAAAAGTGGGTCCCCTCTGCCTATAAGAGTCCATTTTCACGACCTGCCTTGTTTTACTCTTTTAGATTCCATCAAGTTATAATTGCTCTCAAAGGTGATGACAGATTTTTGAAATATAGTTTAATTAGTATTAAATATAAAGAGACATACAGTACCTTTAATTAAATAATCCCAAACTGAAGTTTTATCTGAATTTCAGTGTCTGAATTTCAGTGTCAGTGAAACATATTTTCATAATTCCTCAAATTGTTGATATTAGCTTTACATTGCTAAAGTTTATTTTTTTATCACAAGACTGATAATTTCGTGGGTTAAGCAATTTCTAATTATAAATGAGTCCTCTTCAAATTAGTAAATGACATTATCATATATACTTTTGGGAGACTACATTTGAATAAAGGAGGTGATTGAATGTGAAGCATTTTGGTTGCAGTGGAGATTATTTTGATTATTCAGAGCAAAAGAAAGCCCAAATAGTGGGGGAAATGTTGGGTAGACAATACAAGGGTAAATTAGGGAGAGAAAACCATGTCTTGAAATAGCTTCATAAATCATTAATTTTCTGGTCATTATTTTCTTTAAGTGGTCCAGCCATGATCCTTCTCTTTCTTAGCATAAAAGTGAGCCTCCCTTTCTGTAAATCTGCCAAGTCTGGGAATGGAGAGGGCCTGTGCTCTGGTGGCAAGAGCTTCTTAGCACTCTTTTAGTACCTGAGGCTTCATATTTTCTGTCTCCAGGTGTAGGGATTTCTAACACTGTCTCAGAACAACACTAATTTGTATGTATTTCTCAAAAAGACTATTGGGACTTGTGTAGACAATCTTTCTAATGTAGAATCTGTGAGAGTGTGTGTTCTCTTTTTAGTTACATTCATACCACTACAAACACTGCATATGATCCCGTTGAACAGATGGCTTGATTGACACTCAGGTGACAATCTTGAATTTTGCTTTCCCTTTGGCATTTTGGTGTTAAATTTGTGGTTCCAACTCTTTTTAATATTTTTTAGTATATATATAATCTGGAAAGCAAAATGTTATAAACCTATAGGAAAAGAAAAATCCAACAAAAATAAAGATTCTAATGAAACTTCTTAAATCAAGGGTACTTCTCACAGTTCTACTTTGGTTCATACATCACATATAAACTGGCAGTGGAATTTCACTACATTATTANTCACAGTTCTACTTTGGTTCATACATCACATATAAACTGGCAGTGGAATTCCACTACATTATTATTATTTTTTTAAATATATTTTTATTGATTTCAGAGAGAGGAAGGGAGAGGGAGAGAGAGATAGAAACATCAATGATGAGAGAGAGTCATTGATCGGCTGCCTCCTACATGCCCCCTTCTAGGAATTAGCCCACAACCCAGGCATGTGCCCTGACCGGGAATCGAACCACTAACTCCTGGATCCTAGGGTGATGCTCAACTGCTGAACCACACTGGCTGGACTCACTACATTATTTTTTAGGTGTGAGTCTGTCTGAGCTTCTGCTTTTTACTTCTATTTTAGGACTTCACTTAAATTTGAGTTTCATTTTGACTTTAAATTTGAGTTCCGTATGTGCCCCCACCACAATATTGAGGGGCTGTTAGTAGCAGAGTCTGAAGAAAAAGAAGAGTCAGACAGCTGCATTTTTACAGATTTATAGAAAAGGTGTTACATGTGAGTATATTTTAATTGGCAGGAAAAATTCCAGAAGTTTGGTATCTTCCTGAACTAGACATATTTCAGGTATTTTTTACCATTTTCTTAGAAGGAAACCTGTAACATTTGAACTCAAATTACATTTTCTCCATAACTTTCCACTTAATATTAAATAATGTAAAAGTTATAGTAATAGTAATGTACTTGTAGTCCATTTTAAGTAATTGTTTCAATTTAAAAGTGACTATTCTATATTGAAGTGTGTGAGGTTGTACTATGGAAAAATTCACAGGATTTAACCACAAATGTAGTCAGGGTGGAGACTGTTTTGTCAAAAACGGCAACTCTTTGTTTATGAAGTGCTTTAATTTAAATAATATTTTGTAAATGGCAGGTAGCTTTCCTATAACTCAGCAGTAATGGCTTTATAAATTTTAGGTAGAAATTAATATTAACCCCTATATTTAGAACAGACAATGCATATTAATATAACTAAGCTATGTCATCTTAAATTGGCTTAATTTTTGCTTATGAACCATTCAACTACCACCATAGTCTATTTTATCCCGTCAGAAAATCTTTACTAATTAAGTCTGAAACAAATATAAATTTATTTTATTTTTGAGAACATCTGATTACATAACATTAATAGCTGACTGAAGTTTTAACTCTAAGTATTTAAAAATCGACTCTAATGTTAGACGTTATGCAGTCGATTTTTTAGGACATTTTAAAAAAATTTTAGACCAATTTTAGCTTCACAGCAAAATTCAGAAGGATTCAAAGATTTACCATATGGTCCCTGTCCACACAGATGTGTAGCCTCCCCCGTTATCAACATCTCCCACCAGAGGGGTACAGTTACTGTAATTATATGTAATCAATTTTAGTTCTCTTTAGTGTGCTAATTATTAGTTTCAGAAGTATGTAAAGAAATATACAAATATATGCTATTTATTATGAATTGATAAATTTTTTCTGCTAATCCCTCAAGATCAGAATACTTTTATTTTCCCATTGTAGTGTTTTTGAATTATTTTTAAAATAAATTTTAGTTTCCCAATTAAGTAAAATTCATAATTTGCGGAAAGGCACCATCTTAAAACAATATCAAACGTTTTTGAAAAATATTACATATTGTAATGTTGACCAACTACTTAAATTCTAGTGTTTTCTTGATGTATGAAGGAAGGTTTCGAATTCTGTTGTTGAATTATGAGTAGATAGGCAATCTATTTCGAGGTAAGCTAAGGCTATTTTTTACTTACTGCAGAATTTGTCTTCAAGAACCACATTGAAAAATAGTTTTTACCTGTGCTCAGTGTTCAGTAAGCCTTCATGTTTACTTCCTAGGTTTTAGGGACAATTAATAATGAGGAAGTAATTAGTTCACTCCCTAATGAAGATTTTTCCTTGTATTTGGTAAAGGACTTGCCCTTTTTAAATATATAATTTCATCTCACACTATTTTTGCAAATACAGTTTTTACTCCATAATTATTTACACATACACGAAGCAAAATATCTGCTTTAATTGAACTGTTGTTGCAACAATTCCAAGATAAGTCATTTGTATAGATTATACATTCCAGCGTTGTCCCTACAAAACTGTAACAAGATTTTTCCAAGATCATTTCAAATGACGACTCTGATTCTCCCTACTTAAGAGACGAATTGCAAATCTATTTTTTCTCTCCTTCAGACCAGGGATTTGTGTAGTAAAGATGCCTGTCTTAAAATCTGTTTTTCTCACTTTACTTTGCAAACCAGGACCCCCTTCAGCTCCTCGGAATGCCATCTCGAATGTTAATGAAACTAGTGTCTTTCTGGAATGGATTCCCCCTGCTGACGCTGGTGGAAGGAAAGATGTGTCGTATTATATTGCATGCAAGAAGTGCCACTCCCATGCAGGTGTGTGTGACGAGTGTGGAGGTCATGTCAGGTACCTCCCCCGGCAGATCGGCCTGAAAAACACCTCTGTCATGATGGTGGACCTGCTCGCTCACACAAACTATACCTTTGAGATTGAGGCAGTGAACGGAGTGTCCGACTTGAGCCCAGGAGCCCGGCAGTATGTGTCTGTAAATGTAACCACAAACCAAGCAGGTAAGTGTGATGTCCAAGCAAATAACACACCGTAGACGGGCTCGGTCAGTGATCTCAGGCGGCGGGCCCGTTGCCTGAGCCCCGTGAGAACGTCTCACGAGCCAGAGGGGTAGGACTTGAAGTAGAATGCATCTAAGATGCTTTGTATAGTTTAAACAAATAAAGGCTGAGGCTTTCTGAGCAGACACATTCATGGACCAAAAAAAAAAAGTTTTAATTGAATTTTCATTAAAAATACATTTTGACTTAAATCCACTTAGTGCTGTTATAGTTCAGTCTACATTTTTTGGTCATTTTTGTTTACTTCAACTTTTTAAAAATTTACTATTTTAACATATAATCAGGCCCAGTTCATTTGCTTATTTGTTCATTTGTTTGGCACCACAGCTGAGTTTTATTTGCAGATTGAAAAAGTCTTTTCTTATTCTTTCTATTACTATAATAAGTGCATGAAGTGAATTTTTTATAATCCATTTATCAAAATTAGAATAACTACGAACTGTGTACAACCACATGAAAACACATCTATCTTCCATATGAAGATCTTGGAATTATTAGGTAGTAATTATTAGGGAGAAATGAATACAGTTCTGCTTGAGATACTAATTTTTCTATATTTTCCCCTCAAATATTCTTTTAAGCAAATCAACACAGAAAGCTTATTTTCTGGTAAAGTAAGAACCAAAGATAAACTGTGGCTGAATAAATAGTTGAGCTTATTAGCCGACAATAATTATTCGAAGCCTGTAGAGTTTATGACACGTTTTTACCAGCAGTGGTTATCTAGGGGTGGGAGGCATTAAAAGCCAACCCCTTGTATGTAGCGTCCCTGTCTTCCCTGGCTACCACTCTCAGCTGAAGGGCATAAGCTTGTCACTCTGTTAGTACCTCAGGTGGACTTTGTCTGTGTGGACATCCCTGCCAGGAGTACTCAGTGAAATAGGATAGGTTTGAACGGAATCGTCCTTAGTCTTGTAATAGTCTTAGTACAAGACTGTGGTTTGTAGAATGACTGAGTTGACAAGAGAGTGCTGAGGCTAATCAACTCTTGGCCAAAATAATTTGAATTGTTGGATATATCAAGTCAATCAAGTGGCTATCATTAAGAATAAGAAAATGTACGCACTTGACTTCATAGCTACTTCTGATTGATAAAACTGAAGGAAATAGTATAAAGAATCCAGACAATGTGAAGATACTTAAGCAGTTCACTAAGAATCAATCTGAACAGTGTAGATGTTTGATCAACATTGAATACATTTCACAGAATTTTTTAATTCTGTGAGAGAAAACATTGCACACATGTATGCTACATTTCTCAGTGAATTTTATTTTTCTCTGTTTACTCTTTAACTTAAGGTGGAAGTAAAAAAAGGGAGCTAAAGAGATGGATAGGAATAGTGAAAATTAAGTTTTCCTTCAGTATAGACTCAGCTGTCAGCAATACTAGTATATGTCGATTTTTCATCACAGTAACTAAATGTCACATGTGTTCAGTAAATGTAAACCGTCTTCCCACATCAGAAAAGTACTGGCTTTAAACGTGTGAGTTCAGGCTTCTTGTGCAACATCGTTCAACCTGACTTGGCTCTTCTGTGAGTCTTTCATTAGCATATTGAAAGCATATCGAACAATCACTAAGTGCTGTACTCCTTTGGGAGAACCTTCTCTAGCTTGAATACCCTTAACTTCTTTGAAAGATAGAAAGATATTTCTCTGATGAACTAATTGTAGGAAATGACTGTTTATTTTTTAAATGATGTGCTTAATAAGTATTTGCTCTAGTTTTTTTTTCCACTTGCTGGCCTGTTCAAACTGTAAAGTGTATTTTTTTGGACTATAAATACCTTAAATACCAAGAAAGGATAATTTTTGTCCAGCTGTTCAAGGCATGGTTATCATGTAAAAAAAAAAAAATTAAGTATTCAGAGAAAAATTTTGTTGACTTGTGCTTTTTTCCAAATTCTCAGGGTACATATGCTCTAAAATCTTTATAAACCTACCAGAAAAAATCTAAATACAGTGAAGGGATATTCCTTAGTATCTGACATTCTAAACCAACTAAGTGTCAATTTCCACAAAAATTGTGACTTCAAGTAGCTCCTAAAAAGTCTTAGATTTAATGTTACCTAGACTTTGGATTTATCAAGTACCAACATTATACAAAGTGGGCTGTGGTAATTAGTTTTTAAAGCCTGAATATTTTAAAAATATGTTTCATTGATTTCAGAGAGATGAAGAGAGAGGGAAAGAGATAGAAAAGTCAATGATGAGAGTCATTGATCAGCTGCCTCCTGCACACCCCCTACTGGGGATCAAGCCTGCAATCTGGGCATGTGCCCCAAGCAGGAATCCAACTATCACCTCCTGGTTCAGAGGTAGATGCTCAACCACTGAGCCACACTGACTGGGCAATGCCTGAATATTTTAAAGCATTAAATTGAAGAAAGTTATCTGTACCATATGTGCATTTTGAATAAAACTTGTTTCAGCAGATTTTCACTTCAGTTTCGATCCCCTATCAGGATTATATTTTTGATATATGCATTTTTTCTTAATTGATTTGTCTCAAGTTTGTAATTTGCCCTGGCATTTTCTAATTAATTTATTTTTGGTGACATCAATCCATGTGTGAACTGTTCAGATTTGAAATTATATTCAGAAAATATAAGAAAAAATAGTACTTATTTGTACTTTGAAGTTTTTCATTGTTTATTTTATTTTTTACTTTTTAAATTTTTTCAGTTACAGTTTACATTCAGTATTATTCTGTGTTAGTTTCAGATGTACAACAAAGTGGTTAGAAAGTCATGCGTTTTACATAGTGGTCACCCCGTTGTTTCAAGTATTTACTGGTCCCCTGCACAGTTATCATGGTATTATTGACTCCATTCCTGTACTGTAATCTGCTTCTCTGTGACTGTTCTGTAACTACCAATTTTTATTTCTCAATCCCTTCACCTTTTTCACCTGTCCCCCATCCCTCCCTCCTCTCTGACAGCTGTCAGTCTGTTCTCTGTATCTACAAGTCTGTTCTATTTTGTTTGTTTATTTTGTTCTTTAGATTTCCATATAAGTGAAATAGTAATTTTTTTAAGGTGAAAATCTTGCATTAAGCTAGGAACTGAAATTAATCAGATAACCTTGGCTGATCAGTCTATAAAAAGAAATAATGTTGGTTTTTTTGCTGGTTTTAATTAATTTATGGATGTTTATACAGTATTTAAAACATTTCCCTATCATTATGGAGTCTAGCACCTTGCTTTTGAGAGAAGTTGTCCAAATTTAAATGTTACTTTTTTTACATATAACTTAATAGTCAAGTCAAAAAACAAAGTTTTAAGGAAAACTAAATACTAGAATTAGTTGGAATTATTGTTCCTTGTAAAATGTAGCAAACAGAACTGAGGTTGACAGGAAAGAATTATAAAATTGTTGTAAGAATTTTCATAGTGAGGAAAAATAAACACATTTACAGAGAAAAAAGCAAGTAAAAGTAATTTACATAAAGGTAAAGAAATACTGTCTATGGGGAAAGGGACAATGATAGAAAAATTATTAAATGTGAATGCATTAATTATGTAAAAAACTCAACAAAGAGTCAAACTGCAAAGTGGATAAAATGATGGATATGCAAACCATGCATTATTAAACTCTTAAACTGAGAAAAATAATAAAAATTTGTTGAGTTCCTCCAGCTTTCTAGTAAGTTTCTCTTTCTTTTTTAATGCATTCTTTCTAAAAATTGACTTACATATGGTCATATTTCTTTGTAAAAATATATATATGTTATTTATATGACAACACTTATAGAATGTTATATTCTTTTATAGGGTATCTATAATATATATCTAAATAGATGTATAGATGGATTTAGATAGATACATGGATAGTGATATTTCAATACATAGCATTAAAATTAAAAATTCCATAAAATGCAAATACTTTAAACTTTTATCTGCTCACACAATAGTGTGCATTTATTATATTCTTCTGTGAATACATTTTTTAAAATTTTAAGATAATTTTGCGCTAGGCATACTGTATCAAGCTAAAGTTTAATATACACAAATGTATATATTATCCCAAGAAAAAAAAGTTCATTCTAAACAGAAAACCAAAATCACTAATACTTTAATATGCAAAGGTATAGAATCTTAATTCTGAGCTGTAATAGACCACATTTTAATTGTTTTGAATTAGTCTTAGACTCTTGGACTCTTTCCTCAGAGGGGATCACACACTTTGGAGGGAATGCCCCAGCCTTTCCCAGACTATCAGAACTATCACTGATGCAGGTGTTCTCTCTATTTTGATGGGTTTTATTTCTTAGTTCTTGCAAAGGTGTCTGGGGGACATGATACTACGACTTCATCAGGTACTTTCAGTTTGATGCCATTCATGCAGTCGACCAGCATGCTGTCTGATAAGATGCTGAGATGGTCAGGGTTCCTGAAGACTAAATTAGGCTGTAGAGCTGGAAATTTAAGAGAATGCTGAAACAAGAGAGTGAAAGAACAGCATTGTTGCTGCCAAGAGGGCAGCAGACATTTTCTGGTGGTCTCTGTTTATACAGATAGTTAAGAAAAGTTAATTGCCTCTTGTTAGATCGTTTCTGTAATAACTATTGCAAGGATATTTGTTGACTTTCTTCACTGGACAAACCATACTGGCCATGCTTGCAATTACCACCTGATTAAATGTGTCCTTGTTTGCAAAGATTCTTTTGGCTTCTACACATACCAAACAGGTCATTTCAATCGACGTGCGTTTCTAACCCTCACTGTTTGTTCTTCCATATTTTGTATGGTGGCACTAACTGCTGCATTTCACCAAGGAGAAAATAAAGATTGGTGTTTACTCGTTTGGCAGTAGGAATACGCTTTAGTTTGCCCATTACTATAGTTTTACAGCTTTTACTTCCTGGGCCTCAGAGACAAAGTTATTTCTTCCAGTTGCAGGGTATCTTCCAAATATGCAACAAAGATCTGATGAATTAA